GTGGCTACTTTACAACAATTTCTGTTCTCACACATGGGAAAGAATGCAGAACGCATGTTGACAAATCTTCAACATGTACTATTTTTCTGCGTTTGGCATGTGTCCTGGGACGCACACCAAATGTGGGGAAACAAAGTCCAGCAAACGCACGTTTCCGCTAGGCCCTGGTGTAAACAAGGCCTTAAAGTGTCATATGTTTGTAAATAGCTACAAAGTTAATCAAAATAGGTGTACCATATTAGTAGCTTGTACATTTTAGGTAGTCACTGGTTTCTATATTTTTAGACTTTTTTGAATTGGCTTTATCTTACTTTTTACTGCACTGTGTATAGTTTTTGTAATTCTGTTCATATTCTCTTAATTCAAGTCAGTATTTTCACTGGCTCTATAGCATATTATGCAAGTAGTAATGTTTGCCAAGTAGCATTATGTCCTAATTCATTATGTATGTGTATATATATATCTACAGATAATACCTAGCGTGATCATTGAGATGGTGTCTAAATAGCCGTGTTGAAAACAGACGTTCTGCTAATGGAAGGCAGGTTGTGTGGAGCCCTAAAAAAACTATAGTGGGTGGTAAGATTTATTTATTTTTTTTCGTTTTCTTGGCTTCTAGAAGATGCAGTTAATTTTCCTTTTATACACAGATAGAAAAAACGACCTTTTATACATCTAGATAAAACAAGACTTAGACATTGCAGGCTTTGGTTTAAAGTGAGCCTCTCCATTCTCCTAAAAACAGTAACCTAATGGTACATTCTTAGGCCTTGTTCACACCAGACACAGTGTGTTCCGGTTTGATTCTGGCCACATCAATGCCTGCGGTCCGGTCCAAACAAAATGCTGCAAGCACTATTTTCTTCGGACCAGACCACAGGCATTGTGTGCCTTGCGTTACCGTGCGGCCGATCGCATTGCGGCCAGAATGCGTGGCTACGGTGCCATTCACTTAAATGGACCACCACGCCCCCTCTGCCCCACAACATAGTGAGCCGGCCACAATGCAATGCTTTCTGGACAGAATCGGGCCGTTCTGGCCGGAAGGCACTGTGTCTGGTGTGAACGAGGCTTTGAACTGCTCCTTTATTTGTACCAAACCCAATTACACTGCTGTTACAAACAAATTAAAAAAAGACAATACTGAGTCCTCATGTCTATCTCTAACCACTGCCCTGGGCGTTGACATATGCACAAGGCTTTATTTGGAAGGCCAGAAGTGTTTTTTGATGGCTGTGATGGACATTCTGCCTTAATCTTCTCTTTGCTTTGTGGGTAGCAGGATGGGGGTCCAATGACGGAATAACTGGGTGTCTTGGGGACAGAGTCAAGTTCTTGCTCACTGGTTATGCACCAGTGTTTTGCTTTGGTTAAATGTTTGTCTCGGGTTGTACAGCAAGGAAGTATAGGCGTTTACACAGAATAAGGTATTAAATATGTAAAGAGCTGTACAGAGAAATCAATAGGTTAAAAGACGCACAGGGAACTAGTTAACCCTTTCGCTGCCAAGCCCCCCAGAACGCTTTTTGACCTCAGCAGGCCACACCATTTTTGCAAATTTTCCCATTGTTGATTTTCTATTGTTGCGTTGCTAGCGTTTGTAAAAGACCCCCCAAACCATATATTTTCTGAAAGCGCAGGCCCGGTAGAATAAAAAGATGGTGCTACTAATTTTGTAGGTCCTGCGATAATTACGCAAATGTTTATCAAATCAATATTAAACCAATATAAATACACAATTAAATTGATAAAAGCACACTAAAATCAGTATCGGTGCAAACTGTATTGAGTTAATAAATAACATATTTGTAAAATTTAAATTGCGCTTTTTTTGCGAAACAGTAAAAAAAATGAAGTAACACAATACTGTAAATAACCTGTTAAAAATCGTTTGTGCGCTGTGTTTGTGTTGTGATTAAATGTACGCCTGTATCATTTTATTGCAACACAGCGTATCACAGCGCACGGCAATGCGTCACAACGCTTTGCCATGCGCTGCCACAGGTCATGGCAGTGAAAGGGTTAATGTAGCCATACTCAAGCAATCGACCCTAAACTATCTGTGTACCTAGTATAAGCATACAACAATAATATACACAATTGTTACTCTGCTTCAAAGCAGGAACTTCAGTCAGTTTTGATGAATGCTTTACTCAAATATAGAAATTGAGCCAGTAGGGATAGGTACTGCACCCCTAGTTGGAATATACACAGAGACAAAGAAGTGAGGCTTTTAAGGTGTCCAAACCATACATCATGTCCATCAGACACAAGTAGTTATATATAAAAAACATACATTTTATTTAAAATCAACATGATTCAAAAACATAGTTACATCTAGAATGTCGTCAACATGATACAATAGCACATTAAAACCAAACTACCTCCTTATGGTCCGACATATGTATATACATTATTCCATAAGATACATTTTACATTTGGTTATAGTCCGATGTGTGACAGCTGCTTGTGTATTGTTTTCTTTTTCCTGTGTACTTCCTGTGCATAGCAAAAGGGGTAATAAATACATATTTTTTGTTTTTGATTTTCAGAAACGATACTAATAAAGTGAACCAATAATAGATACATTACATGGATGTTGACCATTTTAGAGGCAGATAATAATTTCCAATATTGAAGATCCATGTAGACTGGAATAGGTTTAGAGTAGAAATATTATAGAGATAACAGGATAATGGGAGCAGACAAGGCACATAAGTTTTACCTTGGGGTTAACCAGAGAAAGAACAGAGCTATATCAGCAGTGATATGAAAAACTATTAGCAACATTAAAAACAGGTTAAATAACAATGTAAGTGACTGTAGATCCTCAAATCTTCTCTGAATTGGTGCTGACACTGCCCTTCCTTCTGGAGGCTGGCTACTTTTGTTCCCCATGGTCCCTGTGTGTGTCGTAGAGTAGCCACCGCCCCAAGCTTACTCCCGTGATGGACTACAATCTCACTACAAATTAGTAAACAAAACAGGAGATTGTAGTTCATCACAGGGGCTGGCTTGGAGCTGTGGCTACTTTATGACACACCCCCAGGGACCATGGGGAACAAAAGTAGCCCCCCTCCAGAAGGAAGGACAGTATCTGTACCAATTCAGAGATGATTTGAGGATCTACAGCTGAGTGATACACAAATACTCTGCATTTGTGTTCCTAGCTAAGGTGCTTGAATGCATTTTTAAGATGTAACTCCTGAGTTTAGTGTCGCTGATTTTAGTAACGCTATGAGTAGTGGTCTAGTTGGCCTCTAATTTGCATGGCACAAGCCTTGCATAATGGAGATTGAAAAGCTGGTCTTCTGTGTTTGGCAGACTTGGAATAATGAGCACTATTATACAATAAAAGGCAAATCGGGCTGTGTGATTTATTATTTCTGTTCTGCGTCATTTGAAATACAACTTCACCTGTCCACAATGTTGAAGGATCCAATGTGACCTCCACCCAAAATGGTAACTGAGCAAACATTGTCATCCCCCTATCAGTAAGAGATCAGTATGTAGTTAAGAAGACTCCTGAAAAGCCTACTCTGGCCATTACCAGTGTTCGGACCATTATGTGGGACGTGGCTCGAATAGATAGATAAATCTAAACTGTAGCTACGAGCAGCATCACTAAACTCCTTCCACAGCTCACCTAGGTGAGTATACCCAGTGGGCTGCATTCAAAAAGAAGAGGAAACAAGAAAAGCGGGCTACTCCCAACTTTATTTTATAAAAATGAATGATTAAAAAAACAACAACTTTTGCCTCGTACAAAAAAAGCACTAAACCAGCATCTGATGTCATCTGATTGTCATCTACTCGGTCTCCACCCTAAGAATATTTAATAGGCTTCAAGTGCTGACATGAGACTGCATTGGTAACAGAAAATGATGGTTCAGCCTTTTTTTAGTATAAGGAGGTATTTCTCTCAGAACAACAGACACAGAGATATCTGCCCATCGCCACACACAGGACCCACTACAATACTCACACAGTGGCAACATTGGTGCAATGTGTGGTAGTACTGATTCTTACCTCCTATTCATAGAAATAATTTGGTACATTTTCCTGTGTGATTTACAAGATAAAGTTTAGAAAAAGCCCAATATTGTCAAGTGATGCTTGAAGTTCTGCTGACATACCAGGTTGAATTTTCTCATTAGATTACCATTGTTCTCCCACAAGATAATCTGACTCCATGGGTGGTTTGGGGTTCTTCTCTCTCTTTCATAGGAATACAGAGGAATGTTTGGACGATCTAAGCATACATATTTATGGAAATATTTATCAGTAGAAAATGTTTTGTTTTCACTTAGAGCTGCAGTTAACGATTATTTTCAAAATCGATTAGTTAGCCGATTATTATGTTCGATTAATCGGATAATAAATAAAATAAATTTTTTTTAAAATGGCTCCAGTATGATCGTGGATGCGGGCGGCAGGGAGGAGGTGGAGCGTGGATGCGGGCGGGTCTGGCAGCGGCGAGCTTGAGGGGGGGAGGAGGTGCGCCGCGTGTGTGGAGCCGTGAACAGGGCCAACTAATCGGAAGCCGATTAATCGATGATTGAAAACGTTGACAACTTTTTCAATAATCGATTATAATCAATTTAGTTGATTAGTTGTTGCAGCCGTAGTTTCACTGCAGTCCTAAAAGTGATAAGCAGGGAGACGAGCATGATGAAAATGTGGTAGAAGGATTTAGTAGCTATCGCATGTTGGTTTTCTTTCTCTTTTTGTTTTGTTTACAATGGAGAAGCAGATGTAAAAAAGAAACTACAATACTTTGCTTACATAAGATAGCATTCTGAAATTATGTATTCCCTTATTTTGGTGAGTGTCCCTTTTTAAAATGTTATCCTGTTAGCTGCAATATGACAGAATTAAAAGTTTACACAACTGCATTTCTGTGTTTTTACCCTGTTGATTATAGGGTATTTTAAAGAGAAGACAGAGGGTTGTAAATAGACAAACAGATGTGACCCCTGCCTATTTTTATTTCCTTGCAGTTGAAAGAGCTATTTTGAAGGCGTGACAGCGCTTGGACTATGTCCCATTGCTGTACTAACCTCCTGTGGGATGTACGAAAACGTGCACTTGGATTGGATGAACCTAGTAATGTCCGTATCAACTATTTGGGTATGTGATGCTGTACTAGATTGCTGTGAGTGGAGAAAAAAGTTTTTGGTTTATTTTCTGTATTTTTTTGTACATATTTGAATTATTTTTGCAATGCTTAGAGCCAAATTTAGCATTTTTATATGCTTGTTTTTGTAAATGTTTGTTATTGTATTAGATGTAGCATTTAGTAACTTAGCAAGATGATGATTAGGCAGAACTTTTGAATGGGCCATTTAGGCCTTGTTCACACCAGATGCAGTGCGTATCGGCCAGATTTTGACCAGAACGCAGTGCCTCACATTGCGGCCGGCTCACTTTTTTTGTGGGGCAGGAGGGGGCGTGGCGGGCCATTGAAGTGAATGGCACCAGAGACTGGAAAAAAAGTGTCAAAACGTTGTATGCACTCAAACTACATATTTACCTTGAATTTTATTGCAAAGAAAATTCACAATGGTGACAATTTACTGAAAATTAACTTTAGATACAAATTAGCATTTTTCAGTGTATAATACTTTCTGTAACTCTGGAAAATGTTTAATTTTGGTTAGAGTTTTCTGCCTGTACTAGTCCCAAGAGGGCTGTAACGGTATCTTATTTTAAAAACACTCTGTAAGCTATATTTGTTTCCAATGGTATTGTTATTCTTTTTATTTCCTGATGGCACTTATTTAGTTGTACAGTATGTTGATCTTTGTCTGTTTGTATGAACATACATCTAAGTTTTTTTTTTTTATATGTAAAATAGTGTTCTATTAAAAATACGCACTTGTATCAAACAATTTAGCATTTTTTTTACTTCCGCTTTGTTTTTTTGATTTCCGATAGGACGAAGAGAATTTGTTCAAAAACTTAAATTGGAAAAAACTTTGAATGTGCATCATGGCTGTGTAAGTCAATCATGGAACCACAAAGATATTGCTCTGGCTTTTTGTTTGGAATATTTACTGTATATGAATGTCTCAGTTAAAAGGGAGTTGTTCCAGTGCAATTATACCATTGAGAAAGTTTATTATACATGAAGTAATATTACAGCAAGTGTGGACGAGGTGTGATCAAAAAAGGGCTAGCAAGCAGTAGATTTGTTACTGTTTTATGTATGAGGGGGGCGGGAAGCAGGGGGAGGATATTGTTTTGTGTGGGGGGGAGAACAGGAGGAGCATATTATTTTGTGTGGGGGAGCAGGGATCAGGGGGAGCAAATTATTTTGTGCGGGGGGGGCAGGGAACAGGGGGAGCAAATTCACACCTGTATGTTTAGGTGCTATTAGGGGTTCCTGCATTAGGAACTTCCGTTTTTCTGCAGCAGGAATCCCTAATGTGGCGTTTACAAGCGGCAGCTGTCACCCATTCAAGTTAATGATCAGGTGACAGCCACTGCATGTAAATGCGTACACACAGCATGTAATGGTATGTGATATGATTAAATGCGGTGTTATGAATGCCCCACCCTTGTGCCCCTACCCTACCACTCCCACCGAACACTTGCTGCAGAATGAGAAATTTGACAGCTCCCAGCCGGAATTTAAACAGATGGGTGGAGCCAGTGGTGACATCACCACTCGCTCTGCCTATTTGTTTTCATGTATGGGCTTTTGTGAATAGGGTTCCTGCAGCCGAAGGTTCAGCTTAATCTTCGGCTGTATTTTTTCTGTTGTTTCAATTGCGGTCACATGACCGGCTGAAAAGGGCTCTATTTTGAATCGGCGCAAATGGTATCGGCGCAAAACGAGGGCTACCTGTAAAATGAAGTGGCTAAATAGTTTTATTTCTTACTTTACTCCTGATACACAGTCTGATTTGAAAGCTTTTCACATGATCTAGACAAATACAGTTTATGAAGTAATGATGCCATTTAATATTAAGCTTTATAGAAAGCTTATTTGTAAATGATGCAATGCGTTAAAGCAGGGCTGGACAAATCCCAGGAGCCAGGTAGCCAATTCTCCCTAAAAATTACAGTTGGCCCTTAACGTTTGAGGTTTTTGTCTAGTTGTCGATGGAGCTGGCTCCTGGATTAGACAGACTGGCTCCTGAATTCCAAATAAATGTGTCCACCTGCTGCCATCCTTATCCTTTATTTACTGCTTTTGGTGTCACTGACCTGGAACAAACATGCACATATCATTTATTAGGACAAAATATATGTACCTGTTTGCATCTGGTTAGTGACTCACACAATAGTTCTGCAAAGAGAAGGACGACTGCCCCAGAGAATGCACTTTCTTGACCAAATTATCAATACCAACTCCCATATTCATGTCTCGACAGATTCCTTCCCAATAACAGCCTAATAGCCAAGCTGATTTAACAAGTATAGACAACATAAACAAATGGCTGAGGTTATTTGTGTGGTTTGATGCAAATCATGATTGTTTAGATTTGTAACCTTCCTTTTTTTCTAATAGGTCAATTCTATTTGTTGGAATAGTACGGGGGAATACATACTGTCTGGGTCAGATGACACAACTTTGGTGATTAGTAACCCTTTCAATAAAAAGGTAAGTTGACCCATAGAGGGGCTAGTAGTACAGCAGGTGGGATTTGACAAATGTAGAATGCATAAAGATATTCCGGTATATTTCTGTGTTGTTTCCTTACAATGCATGTTGAACAGAACCCTGGCTTTTCATTCTTATCAAGAAAACATTTCTCCACAATATGTATCAGTCACTCTTTCCCTTTCACTGTTCTACCTAATAGGGTAAGGTACAAATGCAGTGTCATTGTATTGTATAAAATGAATCCTAAGAAGCTGCGATTTCACAGCAGTACCCTGACATGACTATATAAGTAAAATGTGTCTGCTTTGAAACTAGCACTGTTTTTTTTACTTGTTAAGTATAGCTTTTAATTTTCCATATTTGCAGGTCTTGACGAGAATCCGCTCAGGTCACAGAGCCAATATTTTTAGTGCAAAGTTCCTGCCACTTACCAATGATAAGCACATCATTTCGTGTTCTGGAGATGGAGTCATTTACTTCACAGACATTGAAAAAGATACAGAGACAAACAGACAGTGCCAATTTACATGCCATTATGGAACAGCATATGAGGTATGTGATGACAGATGGCTGTACATAATTTATACTTTCATGGGAAAACTTTACTTTATCCTACTTCATTTCTTATTGTGTATGATGGTCACATGCTTTGTGCTTGATTCCCTTTTATGTACTATATACCGCATATTTAAACTGGATATACACTGTTCATCTATTTGTATAATACTTTGTGTAAACAATTCAGAAAGGGATTGGATTTAAAATGCTACTAAAGGCTTGGTGCTTTTTACCTTAAAGGAGAACTATGAGGTGAGTGCTTTCCACTCACCTCATAGTTTTAGCCGACCTGTGACTGTCACAGGTCGGCTCAGTAAATCGGGAGGTGAGCGAACACATACCGGTGTTCGCTTGCCTCTCGATCCTGTCACGGCTCTCTGCCGTGAGAGGGGAGGGGCTGGATTCCCCGCAACCTAGACAAAGTTTGTTTAGTTTTCCTTTTTAATAATAGTCTCCTTAAAGAGACCCTGTCACCAACTTAAACAAAATGCAGGTAAATGCACAGAAGAATGAAGCATTTTAAATACTTGTGTTTCTCTTTTCCATTAATTATTTTTTGTCACTTACAATGTGGCTTTGAACTTGCTACCAAAATTCCTTAGCACAGCCCCTCTTGCCTCTCTCTAATTACACTCTGTGCTGATCCAGCATCTCTGCCCCTCCCCTCATCAGCTGTTATGTAGCAGGTGGGGGAGCAGCAAAGGGGACCTAGAGTGACAGCTCTGAGTCTGCTGGGGCTGCTGACATCACATCTAAGATGGTAGTGCCCAGCAGCAGTCTCAGGGCTTTTGGATCTATACACAAGGGAAGCTTTTACAGGTAAATAGCAAGCATAAAATATGTTAAATGCACATTTACTCTTATGCGAATACTTTTGTTGAAATGAATGATCTAGCAACAGGGTTGTTCTTTAAATTACAAAATGGCCTTTATTATTTTAATGTTAGTGAAAGTTGAGTTTTTCTTTAAGGCAAACCTAAGCAACATGCTTGGTTTTGTGCCTCCCTCCCCAGCAGCACATAGCCCGCTCTGCGCTCCCCAACTGCTTCAGTCAGCCACTGGGAACAGTATACCCAGTACTTCAGGTATGGAGGAGCCTTCCCCTCCCATGTGATAGCACTGGTGCTTGATGATTAGCTCATTGCTATCGCATGAGGTTTCAGAGCCTTCCATAGGAGTGAATGGAGACCGGGAGCACTTGTGTGCAAGAAACATGGGATAGGTGGGTCAGCTTTGAAGAAAAGACGCTGTGATGCTGCACATTGGAGATGCGAGAAGAGGGACTGCAGGTAAGTCCTTCACCTGTGTGTTTATAATTGTGAGTTTAAATATTTTGTAAAAACATAGGCCCTGAAAGAAAACGTTTAGAGCAACATTTATACAAGACATGTGAAAATTATTTGCGCAACATGTGTATTTGAAGTAAAAGGTTACAAATAGGGATGCACCTATACCGTTTTTTCAGTATCAAGTACGGATATTTTTTTCAGTACTCGCCAATAGTGATACCGGAAGTCCCATTAAAGAAGCCAGGCGGCGTGTAATAACTCGCCACCTGGGTTCCTGGTTAGCCGGGAAGCCGAGCTGCGTGTAAAGACTCACCACCTGGCTTCTCGATTTAGCATGGAAGCCATGCCCATGCTCCCTCGTCACCAGGTGACGAAGCATGGAGTCGGCTTTCTGGCCAATCAGGAAGCCGGTCGCTGTGTAATGACTCGTTGTCCAGCTTCCTGATTGATCAAAGCTGGCCGATCAGCCAATCAGCAATGAGTCATTACCCACCCCACCGGCATCCTGATTGGCCAGGAAGCCGGCTCCATGCCTGGTGACGAAGGAGCATGATGTTGGCTTTCTGGCCAATCAAAGCCGGGGGGCGGGTAATGACTCGTTTCCCGGCTATCAGATTGGCCAGCTTCGATCAATCAGGAAGTTGGGTGGCGCGGCATTACTTGGTCACGAGGGAGCATGCAGCTGGCTGCCCGGCCAATCAGGAAGCCGGGCAGCGTGTAATGACTCACTGCCCGTCTTCCTGATACTGGAAGCTCAGGTATCGGGCTAGGCATCGAAGCATTTGTGCGAGTAGGAGCCCAAATATTTGGCATCAACACCGAAACTAGTATCGGTGCATCCTAGATACAAACACAGTTAACAGTTCTGTTAACCCATTTAGGATAATGTTCTATAAAATGTTTTATGTATATGATGTTTAGATACTGATAAAGTAAAAACTGCATGTTTGTTCTAAAATCTGTTTCCAGATTAATACTGTGCCCAATGATCCCTACACATTTCTGTCATGTGGTGAAGATGGCACTGTGCGGTGGTTTGATGTCCGAGCCAAGACCAGCTGTACAAAAGAGGACTGTAAAGATGTAGGCTTAATTATTATGTTCGTTTTTTATTTTGAGATGAAATTCAATTTTATAGGCCATACATAAATAGTTTTTATAGTTTTATCTAGTGTCCGGCATTTTGAAGTTCATAATATATTGTGTCTGTGGGCAATAAAAAAAAAAGGTAATCATTCAGGTTAAAAAATTGAATGTTGAATTTTTACTTTATTAAAGGAGAACTATGAGGTGAGTGCTTTTCACTCACCTCATAGTTCTAGCCGACCTGTGACAATGAGACTGTCACAGGTCGGCTCAGTAGATCAGGAGGTGAGCGAACACATACTGGCGTTTGCTCACTTCTCGATCCTGTCACGGCTCTCTGCCATGACAGGGGGAGGGCTGGATTCCCTCCTCCCCGCTCCGATCCTCCAGCGCTGACTGGCGGAACAGACGGAGGGGGCGGGTACAGCTGACTCTGCCTCTATATAGGCAGAGCCAGCTGTCACTGACGCTGCTGGGCGCATCCAGACATAATTGTCGGGATCCGCTTCAGCTGTGGCGTCTCAGTATACCGCGAGCCGTAGCTCGCGGTATACTGAGCTTAGGGTGAGGGGAGGACGCTAGTTTGTGTCCTCCCGTTACCCTAAGGAGAACAATGGGGAAAAGCCCTAACCCCATAGTTCTCCTTTAAGCCTTTACAGGCATATTTTATAAAAACAGAACACAAGAAGGTTCTATATGAGAAAGGAGTACTTGGCTGCAGTAACTAGTTGGGTTTTATCATTTATTTACTGGAAAAATAAAACAAAGATTCTGATTGGTTGCTTTGGGTAAGTTGTGTGGGCGCTCTTTTCAGCATTTTTTTTTCTATAAATGCGCCTTTTTATGTACCAAACGATCCTTATGCATATTATCTTTTTCTCAGCCTGAATTTTGAACTGCGTTCCATACTAATCTAATTTTTAGCTATGAGCATTGTTTAATGGTGTATGTGGCCTGTTATTTCAGGGACTTTCTAAATATAGAACCAAACATGTCAAGTGGTTTATATCGCTAAGCCCTCTGAATGGTCAGTAGCACCATTTACATAGTGTGTTGTGGTCAATGGCTCTACAGCCCTCAAAAATGCATGAGGGCATTGCAATCTTTACTATTTCTTTGATACATCTGGGCTTATTTAATAAGATGACAATGACAACATAGAGAGAGTAGTATCCCTCAGCTGCCAATGAAACGGCAAGTGTTCACATCACTGTTCACATTGCTTTTTCTTCATTAAATAATCCTGTGTGTCTAAGTAGTTCAGTAGGGATATTGCCTAAATAACATTTTGCAGTACTATTAATAGACATGGATTCCTGTAAACTGCTCCTTATCTGTTAACCTACAGCTAATGAAACTTTTCTGGTTGATGTCATCAATGTCTAGTCTACAGAGACTGGCATAAGGAGGTCTCCTGGGACTCTGTAGAGAGAGGAATGGGCATCTAAGACCTTCTTTTTTGATAATATGCCTATGAAAGGACCACCAAAGATATCAAATATCTGGAAACAGTCATTCAAAAGCCACGTGAATGCGTGCACAAGACAGACAGTTGGACAGTATGACAAGTTGGCCCCAGCCTAAATTGTTGTAACGACTTACATTTTCTCGGCCACTCTTAGCGATGCTGTGTCCCACCCTGGTTGCACCCCTGCTGACTCAAGTGGTCAAGCCACTCAACATCTTCTTGCCTGGTCAACACAGCCGCACCTCGGACTACTCCTTCCTGCTTCTAATTAGACACTCTTTCCTGTATCCCGGCAGTATGGCTTTGACTTGGACATACTCCTCCCTTCCTACCTGCTATTGTTCCATTTTCTGTCAGCGCCTGATATAACTCACCCAGGCCTGGCAATTTGTGATTGGTTTTTCCATGTGGCTCACTAGCTGCCATTACCTGCATCTGATCTGCCTGTGTACTGACCCTTGCCTGTATTTTGACCATGTTTCTGCGTGATGCCTGGACTGGCCTTTTGGTCTCTTCTGACACCTCTCTGGTGGCTGCCTGGACTAACACCTTGTCATGCCTCTTTGATTACTCCCCTGTAAAGGCACCTGTCCGTACCATCCTCTGCAACTTTGTGAAGCAGAGGTACTCTTGTTCTACCCTTGCCCAGCCTCTTCTGCTACCTAGTCAGAGGATATTGCATTGTGTTATAAGTCCTAGAGGCAATCAAGTACTGGTAGGCCTACTTACCTTAAAGTGGTACTAAACACTCAGGAGGGGAATTTATCAAAACTGGAGCAGGCAGAATCTGGAGCAGCTGTGCATGGCAACCAATCAGCTTCTCTTGTTCATTTTCAAATCTTAACTGAACAAACTAAAGAGAGAAGCTGATTGGTTGCCATGCACTGCTGCTCCAGATTTTGTCTGCTCCGGTTTTGATAAATTCCCCCCTCTGTGTTTTTATCTTCATTCAGTTTTGGCAATCGGTGTAGGATGCCCCAATATTTTTAAATGCCGCAGTGCATGATGTATGCAGCAAGAGGCATCACATAAGGTAAGTCTTTACACCAGCATTAGGGAAATGCTCCCCCCCCCCCCCCCCACA